CTCATCATCTCTGCATCTCTCTCCACTTTTAAAAACCCAAGAAAAAAAAACCCCCAACGAATACCTTCTTCCTCTCTCTATTCTCTCTTCGTTTCACGACCACCGCGCCAACTCTCCACCGCCTCTCCGCCGCCGAGACCCACGCCCATATCCTTGCTGCCGCTTCGCCGCCGGCAACCCAAACCCGCCGCACCGCCCAACAGCCGCTCCAGACTCCCTCGTCTCCGACCCGCTCGAGCTCCTCCTCTTGAAGCAGCGGCTCCACCCCACGTCGTCCAGCTCCGTCAACCGCCCCGCTGTCCTCCTCCTCTCCGCCTCAGTTGTCCGACCAGACGCCACCTCCAGTTCAAGCTCCGACCGCCGCCACGCCTAGCCACTTCACGACCCCCGACTCCGCCATCTCGAACCAGATCCCCGCCGTCGGTCCTCCCCCTCGAGCTCAGCCTTCCCTCTCAGCCGCTCCGCCCTAGCTCCTCCACCCATCGTTTCTCCTGCCAGCTCCTCCTTGAACCAGCCAGCCGCCACCATCAGCACCATCTCCGCCACCCCTCTCCCGTCACTGCCGCCACTCTGGCCTCCGTAAGTCCTCAAACGCCGCCCGTCCTCGAACTCCAGCTCCTCCTCATACTTTCTCCACCGCCCCCAGCAGCCACCCCAACGCCGCTCTCCGCGCCGCTGCCCCTCGACGGCGCCGCCAACCCTCTCTGCCCGCCAGTGCCACCACCCGGAGCTCCGCCGCTGCTCTCCAGCGCCTCCTCGGCCTCCCCGAGCTCCTCCATCGCTGTCGAGCTCACCGCCAACCAGCGCCTCCATCGCACGCCACGTGTTCGACGAAATGCCAACGCAGAGCCAGTTGCAGAATCGCACACCAACAGCCCCCGTCGAACCCCGTTGAGCCCTCAGTGATGACAACCACCGTCGTTGCCGTCCCCTACAACCGCGTCGTTCAGATCCGTCACGACTCGACCGTTCAGATCCGTCGTACCCCATCCGCAGCGGCACCGCTGCTCGTTATCAGACCCCACGGTCTCGTAGGCAAGATCCCGCTCTTCTTGACTCGTAATTTCCTATTTATACCTGTCGTTAATTAGTTGCATAAATTAGATTATGAATTATTATTATCTGCGTGGACTTGTTGATGAATTGGTGAATTATCCGTTTATGTTGATTTATATCTTTTTAGTATCTGCGTGGGTTTGAAGAACAATATTGAATGGATAGAAATTATGTGATAAATAGTATTTTCAGAACCAATATAATAAATTAAAGAATTTATTTTGGGTAACAGGATTATTTTAGATTAATTATAATATTTTTAGAATTTATGTTGTGGAAGAAAATTATTTTAGAATGATAAATATTTTATAAAGAAGTTTTTTTGGGTAGCGGAATCATTTCTGGATAATTATATTAATTAAAAAGAATTTGTTTGAGAACAGAATCATTTGAGGAAAATTATGATAATTTTAAAAGAAATTATTTTGGAAAAGGAAATATTTCTAAATTATGTAGACTCTGTTTATGATTTATAATTCTTAATCTTGATTATCTGTTATGCTATGATATTATTGCACATGATTAGTTGCATTGATTGTTCCTGGCTATGTTTGAGAACCTTAGTAGTTCATGACTTAGTGGCCTCGTGCGTTATGAACAGACTTAGTGACATGTGTGTGTGCGTTGACCGAGTTTAGGTGGTGAACCCGAATTTCAATGAGGATTATGGTTGATTTAGAAAATACAAGAGAGTTGGGATGAGGAAGTTAATGTTCATGTGATCGGATAAGGCTGTTGATGTATCTTCCAGACTCGTACCAGAGACCTGTTTCGTCCTGGGGTTGGTTTGTTGGACAAAGTGGCCTGTTTCGTCACTTTGATCCGTGACTTGTTTCGTCACCTGAGCTTTGCCTGAGTTCGGACCGGGCTGAGATCGGATTGCGTGTAGTCCTCTAGCCGCCTGTTTCGCGGGATTGGATGCGCGTAGGGGATTTGTGAACAGCCAGTTATCCGGTGATAGGAGCGTTGACTCTGTGTGAGATGTGACCAGTGACCTGTTATAGGATGACTAGTTACATGACCTCGTTTCTTGACTAGGTATGACTTCTTGTGAGATGTAGGCCGGTTGTATTTCTTTTCATACATAGATCGGGATTGATATTTAATTATCTATAATTTGAGACATATGGTATATAATGAGGGTTTCCTTGTTTGGATTATTTCGCTCGACGTACTACGTCTCAAGTTATAGGTATTTAAGTATTAATTCCATCTAGTTGTGTGATTTGGATATTTGGATGATTACTCTGTTGGCTAGCTGCGTGATCTTGACACTTGGATGGTTTTGTTAGATTTTTCTGATGATTTTATTCCAGTGATAGATTGTATTTAGATTATTATTAATTCGTTTGCATGTTATTATTATTATTATCACTGTTTTTGCTTTGGTCGTTCGATTGTTCCTATTTCTCTCTGTGGGATCTTGTCGTGCGCCATGCACCTGACGTACACCTGTTTTCTCTGGTGTACGTCAGACTTAGTGGAAGAATAGGTTCAGCTGGGAGATCGCTAGGAGCCAGAGGATTCTTAACAGAGTACTTAGAAGACCGAGCTGAAGAAGCCGAAGGGTAGTTTTTCCCTCTAGTTGTTCGATGATCCTAGTTTATTTTCGTAGCATTTCCTTTTCCACCTGATCATTGTATTTTATATTCTCCAGTATTTCATTCAGATAGTTTGTATAAGGGTATGTTGGACCCGTATCATTATATCTTGAATGATATTCATTTGTGATATGATATGTATTCTTTTATTCTGAGTTTGTCTATTATATTCTTGCTGATTGTGATCGGGGACCTGTGACTTCGCATTGTATTTATTTCCAGACGCTTAGCGTATTGGATTGAGAAGATAAGAAAAAAAATTGGTAGTGTATATTTCTTCTCAATCTAATACGTCGCGGGCTTGTTCACGTCCCGATTCCCGGGTATTTTGGGAAGCGGGGCGTGACAGGACCTTCCTCATCTCCTCTATTGGATGAACTTTCGCCAATGCGTATATCATGTACTGTGGAAGAACGAACCCACTCATCATCCTCAAACTCGTCGGGGGGTGGTTCTTCGTACTCAACATATTCATTATTAACATAAGCTTCATCTGGCCAATCCAGATTCTCTTCATCATCTTCACCCACAAATTGCATGCTGTCAAGTGGTGTACTATCTTCATCTTCACCATCAGAGGCGTCGCTTCTTTCATCCTCTTCATATGAAGGTGCACCACTGTGATATTGAAATTGAGCCTGCTTTATTTCACTCGAAGAAGAAAGAAAGCCTTCAGACTCAACTCCTAAATCTAACATGCGTGAGAATTCTCCTGGAGGGTTGAATATTCGGCCCGTACTATGTAGCATCGTTTCAATAAACAATTCTACCGTTGGTTGTGACTTGCTCAAATTAAACAAAATACTCATCAAATGATCGTTTGAGATCTCAACTGCGGACGTTCTATCATAAGTTATCGGCCAATTGTATATTATTTTTAGTCGGCAATCTCGTGGGTCAATTGTCGTAACTCCATGCAATTCATTAACCAAGTCAAGGTAACTGTATGATTTCGATATCATTAACGGGATTGTCACCCCTCCGACGTACATTGGCATATTATTCATTCCATAATTAATCGTTCCACCATAAGAGCAAACAATAAAAATCATATTGTTCAACCTATGCAAAACAAAATTATATCATTTAAATGCAAAAAATTTAAAAAAAAATTATCAAATATAACCCTAAACCCCAATTACAACCCTAGAACCCAATTACAACCGTAAACCCCCAAATTCTAAACGCTAAACTTGACCCCCAAATCCTAAACCCTAAAATTGAGTATTCTATGCCCCAAATGTTTAATTTCAACTACAACAAGAATAAATTTTTTAAATAAACCACTACAAATAGAGTTCAAACACTATAAATTCGTTTTGGAGAGAAAACCCTAGATTTCTACGTGTCAAAAGAGGAGAGAAGGGAGAGAAAGTACCTGTTAGATCTTTCACGCTAAAATTCCGCACAAAACTTGAGGTTGAAAGTTGAGATCCGTGGCTCAAAGAGAGTTTGGGAGGAGGAGAACGACAAAAATAAGAGAGAGAGGCGGCTGAAACCGAACGGGTGTGGGAAGAATGAAGTCGTGACCTTTATATAGGTCGCGGGCCTAGTGAACAAATAGTCGGGGTTGTGAACCCCGACTATTGTCACTTAGCTGTTTTCACCGCTCGGCGACTGGGCCAGAGGTCTCTGCCATATAGTCGGGTTTGGGAACCCCGACCATTTCAAAAAGGACTTTCCAAATGGTCGGGGTTGCCAACCCCGACCAATTAAACAGGGGCCTAAATTAGTCGGGGTTGGAAACCCCGACTATTTTAGCTTGTCCATAGCTAAATAGTCGGGACAGGGGCCTAAATTAGTCGGGGTTGGAAACCCCGACTATTTTAGCTTGTCCATAGCTAAATAGTCGGGTTTGCTAACCCCAACATAACTAAATAGTCGGGGTTGGCAACCCCGACTATTTAGCGGCATCATTAAAAAAAACCGACTCATTTTGTGGCCACGTTGCTGACGTGGCACGAAATGGGTCGGTTTTGATAATAAAAACGGGAATGAGTCAAATTTTTTTAAAAATAAAATAAAATGGGTTTATATTGAAAATTTGTTCTTTTATAAAAACACAACCAGGAAAAGTACTTTATATATCATCTCCTTTCACATTATTCTGAAGCGGCTGCACAAAAAATCCGGCGCTATCTTTTCTAACGTGGGACTAAAAATTGATGAATCATTCTTCGTGTGATAAAAGAAGTAAGAACCCCAACTGTTGTCATTTATTTAAAAAACTCTCTCTCCCCCTCCTTCCCATTTCCATTTTCGAACTTTTTTTAGAGTTCTCAAAAACCCTAAAAACGAGGAAACAAAAAGGAACCGCCATGGCGGCGCAGTCCAAAGTGGCGTTCTTCGCTGGCGAGCGGCGGAGCTTCGAGCTTGCTTTCTGACCTCCCATCTCGAGGCCTCTTCTCCTCCACTGTCCTCTCTTCCAGTTTGGTAAAACCCTAATTTTTTTTTAATTTGGGAAGTGTTTTCTTGCTTGATTCTCTTTGATTTGTTTGTGTTAAAAATTTTGCAGGGTGGCATGAGGGTTTATGTTTGTGATCATGATACCTCACCTCCAGGTTTGGATTTTTTAGTTCTATCGATTAATCCTGTGTGTAGTTTTGATTCTGATTTGAAATTACATTCGTCAAATGTAATTGTTTGATGAAGTACTTTTTCTTTTGCTGGAGAGGGTTTATTGAAGACGATGCTTTACTTTGAAACTTGAATTTGTTTGTTTTAGTGATAGGTAATGATTTCTTTTGGGTTCTATAGTGACTTAAAGATGGGAGCTTGATGTTTGATTTTAGTAGAAACTTCATTTTTTTAAAATCCTTGTTTGAAAGGTTCTTAATTACTTGGTTTATTGTGGGCATTATGTGTGAAGTTGTAGAAATGCTCGAATCCTTATGAAATGATGTTTTTCGTTGTTTTATTATTCTTCAGTGGGAAGAGCAATATTTGTTTTTCTTCTATTTTTGTTACTTTCGAAGACTGATCTGACTTGTGGATTGTATCTTTAGCGACTTACATGGTAAATCATTGCTTACTTTATTTCATTTATTTAGAGGAGCAAGTAATTAAGACGAACACGACAAACATATTGATTAGAGCCCTTCAGATTAACAAACAAAAGACTGACTTGAAGGAAGCTACTAAGCCAAACAAAGGCAAAAGGTATAACAAATCTCAAACATTGCTTTACTGGTTTATTGGCGTTTTTAGAAGTAGCTTTTCTGTTATCTGTAAATGCAGTAGAACTTTTGTTCTATTTGTTCATAAAGTTATATTTGGTCGGTTTGTGCTTCCACATCTATATGTGCAAACAAGCACGTGAGTCTTCTCTATTTTACATGAATCTTTTTGTGTACAATAATTAAAAGATTCCATATCCTTTATATGCTACTTATATTTGATGACTGGTATACATTTCGTTGACAATTTCTTTTTGGCAATACATATCTAGAGTTCTTGTTCATTTACTAAATTGTTTCCTCTGCAATATTAGACTATTAGTCAATCTGAATAAAGTACATCATTTACCTTGTCTTTTCCATATGTTTTTATGTGTTGGTCAGTATAATGATTTAATTATTCTTGTGCCCAATGAGGGTTTTTGCGACGTTTCTCATTTTACTGATGCTTATATATCCATATTGTTAACAACTTTTGGACTTCATTTCCTTGAGTTTAGCAAGTTACTGATAGAAAATTTGACCCTAAACGTAACAAGTGGGAGAAGAAGTCCCACACCATACTATTCTTTTCCCGGTTTAATATGTATTTCTTCGACCACAAAAGATAGAAAGTGCAAGAAGTTATTATTTTGAAGCATCAACATGACTTTGTAGATTTTAGAAAATCACTAGAGATGGATTTACATCTTGCAGAAGGAGAAACCAATACGCTAGCTTAACTAAAAAACTAGTCAATAATCATAAATCACAAATAAGAAAATAGTGAGATTATGACAGCTGTTTCTAGTGAAGAAATTTTTAGGAAAGGGAAACTAGAAATAAAACACGAGCCTGCGACCTAATTACTTTTAGTAGTTTACTTCATAAGATTTTAACAATTTACTTTATACTATCAATAACAATATTAGATCAGAAATAATTTTCGTCATCATAATGATCTTCTTAGCAAATGAGGTCAATCATGGATACAAGGCTCCATGTTATAATTTACCAAATTCAACTTGTGGTCAATGTGGAACTAATTTTGCAAATTGATGCTGAATCATGGACAACAGAGAGGCATTCAATGTAGCTTAGAAGGTGAATTGCCAAGTAGGGAAAAGTGACTTTTTGTTTCTGGAGTTCAAACTTATGAAACTGTTGAGAATGAGTATGGGGAAAGATCAAAAGGACTGGTGTAGTTGTTGAGATGCCACAATTTGGCCTAATCATGCATTGCGTTTTTGTTGCAGTGACCGAAAATATAAAAGAGATGAATGAACACTTCTGATAGCTAATGTGCATTTGAGGTCATTGCAACAGAACGTGCTGATAGGTAATTGGTGAGAGTAGCAAATAAACACAGTCAATCATTTGACAAAGCCTCTCACGAGAAGCCTCTTACATGACAGAACTTCGGGTCCAGGCAAAAGGACTATCATCCATTACTTCCAATTGATCAGACTCCTTTTCTTGCCAACTACCCAACAGGGCCTTATGAGTTGGTCAGCTTTGTGACTCCTTTTCACTAATTGACAGTGTTCTTACTCCCGGAGTCCCTTATATGGAAAACCTTAGCCATTTTTTTCTCTGTCACAAGTTATTACTACTCTCTTCTTTATGTAATCTTTGAGACACGGGACGAGAGGAGATAATATAGTGGAGATTTTTTTGGGCCTGTGAAAGAATCTACAATTGGAACACTTGCATCTATTGTTTTTGCAAATCAGTCAGCATTTTCATATTTTCAGCCACTAATATCATCTAGTTTAAAAAATAACCGTCATTTTAGGGCTTATACAGCTGATGGATAGAAAATAATGGTGTAGATTTGAGCTTTTAGATTGTAACACCATGTGTTTTCCCACTGGTACAATTTGTCCTTCAAATCATTCCAATCCTCAAAAGCTGTTGAGCATGCTGCATGCTTCCTGCACTAGAATTCTACAAATTGTGATGTTTTCTGGCTCTTTATGATTTGCATGACATGAAATTTCAAAGGATATTTTCCATGGTATTGAAGTTTCTCATGTATAGTAAGGTGGATACATTTCCCCTTATTTGTGACCATTTGATGGATGGTGCGAGTGGTTCCCAGGAAGCATCTGGATCTATAATATCAGTACCCATTTACCTCAGTGTTCCCTATATGTGTG